AATAATAAAATAATAATAATAATAATAATAATAATAGTAATTAATAATGATAATAATAATATTAACAATAGTAACAATTGTTATTATTAATTATTATTATCACTATTATTACTGTTACCATCATTATAGTTGTCACCATTGTGTTAACTTGAAGAAGAAACATTTTAAAGTCTTCAAACGAGGATAAGAAATAAACAAGCCTATGAATAATAAATTGGTTGATATGAGGCAGCAAATATATGGGTATATATGTGTGTATGTGTATGTATGTGAGAATGAGTGTGAATTCGTTGAACGTTGAGCTTGGGACAGTTTCAAAATTAGCCTAAGCCTAGACTTAGGCAGAAAAAAAAGGTTTGAGAAAGAAGTAAAGAAAAAGGGGATGGCTTCCGTCTATGGAATAGACTGGTGTGATGTTGTTGTTGCTAACTAACCAATGAATGCTAAAAGCTAACAACATGCTAGCTCGCTTTTCTAAATGCATCAATAAGAGCGGCTAGAAAATGGATACTATAGTTGAAGCTCACAACATAAGTTCTCTTTTAACAAAATCGATCCACGCATACATATTAAAAAATAAAATTACTCATTTACTTATTTTACTCAAATTACCCTTTTGTTTAATTTTTAATTTTCATCCTTATACATCTTTTAATTCATGCATTGCGATTCTTCTTCTTATTATTATTATTAATTGTTTTCAATTATTTAGCTACTACCATCAATAGGCATATATTGTTATTATTATTATAATTGTTGTTGTTGTTATTTTTTTGATACGACGATTTGTGGTGATAGTTGCTAGCTTAGCAAACGCTCATGGGTGATTACGATTATCTGATCAAATTTTTGGCATTGGGTGATTCGGGAGTTGGCAAAACATCATTCTTGGTTTGTTTTTATCATTAGATGACTTCATTTATTGTTTGATTGATTTTCGTTTTTTTTTAGAATTATTTTATACTTATATATTAGTTGTTTATTCGTAATGTGTTGAAATCGATAACATTTTGAAAATTTTCTTGTTAACCTAAAATTTTGGTCTGTCTAAAATTGTTTGTTAAATAAATTAATGAATAAATAAATAAATAAGTAGATAAATAAGGATACAAAATGTAGAAAAAGAATCTATTGTTAGTGACTTTTTGTTCATAAAATTCCTTCTTTTCTTTTCTTTTTTTGGCTATGATTTTTAATTTATTACTTTCGTCACAATTACCATTATTATTTATTATTATTATTATTGTTATTATTATTATATTATTATTATTATTATTATTATTATCATTATTATTATTATTATTATTATCATTATTATTATTATTATTATTATTATTATTATTATTATTATTATTATTATT